GCTGCTGGTTTGAGCGCAAGGACCCTTTCTGAATACTTCATTTGTACACGACTCGTTGGCGCAATGCTTCCTAGCAGTGGCAGGGTGAGGCTGCCTGCAGCAATTCCAGCGGGTAATTGAATTTTAATTGCTCTGCATGCAAATTAAAACAATAAATTTTCGAGCACTTGCCAATGCTTTCGCTCAAAAAACTATTTAGGTACATACATACTCTTTGATTAATTCGTGAAGTTATAGAAAACAAAGGAGCAAAATGAAGAGTGAAGGGGGGCGGGGTGCAATTGACAGGCGATGCGCAATTTATGAGCGTTTAATGCGAGCTGTGCGGGGGCGGGGGGGTGGTAAGTGTATAACAGCGGCTTTTAAACTTTATTAGCGCACGCAAGTTTGGGGATTTTTTTTTTGATGGTTTGAGGCGTGTAAAAGTACTTAGTTGCGAGTGTTCGATTGATGTTTTTTTTTATTTATTTATTTTCAATTTGTAAATTTTCTTGCTTTCCTGAGTTTTGGTGGCGTCGCGTCGGCGCACGTTCGGCGCATAAAACCGGCAACTTTTCAAGCACTCGTCCGCCGTCAGTCACCCGACCACCGACCTGGTGGCACTTGCAGTAATTTGTCGCCAATGTGAAGTCTACAAGTGGGGCAATATATGCAACAAAAACAACAAACAGTAGTGCGTACACCCTACCTACCATACCATACATACATACATATAAATGGAATCGTGTTTTACAAATAGGTATTTAAGCATTACAATTCAATTGATTTTTGTTGTTGTTTGCGTTTTATTGGCTTTTTTGGTTTTTATTTCTTTAATGTTTTAATTTTATGTGTTTTCCTTATTTTTTTTTTTGTACTTCACGTCATTTACGCGCGTGGTTTTGTTTTTGTAATTTTGTATCGTATTTCAATTCGATTAATGTGGGTAGGTACAATGGTGCCAATGACCTCTGGTCACACGCTCACACACAAGTTAGGTAGTATGGCAACGACAACCGCTGCGCGCATTTGTCAATTTAAAAATAAATGGCACTTAAATCAACGAAATGGCAACTATTCAGGCGACAAAATGCCTTTGCAAAAAAGTTACCAAAAATTGAATTTAAGTGAGGAAATACATAATTTAATGAAGACGAAATTGTCGTGCTAAATAAGTGTCACTTTGCGCCATTTTGATGTAAAATATGAGTTTCATTTCTGCAACAAATGAAATATTCTGCTCAAAGTGCCAATAAATTTAAATCAAGTGGAGTGATATAAATTTAATCTTCGCGAAAGGGAGTTAGCTTCATCAAAAGTTTCCATAAGCTAATAAATTCAAGAAAGTTTCGTAAAGTGGTGTTAGCGTCTGCTTTGACTCAACCTAGTCGGAGATATTCAATGACACTCAGTTGCGTTATTTGGTCGGGAAACGGTGAAAGGCCTTTCTTATACTTCGAGTGGCTTACCAAATTTCTTTTTTTATAGAATTTTTCGTCACTCTGACATTAGAACTACTTACATATTTCCTTAGTCACGCATACCTACATATAAGCATATCTTAATTTAT